GTGTGGACCAAGATACAATTTTAAAAATATATTTTTAAAAGATTGGACAAACAGCTGCTGAATTAAAACATTACAGAAATGAGAGAATGGAATTTGAAAAGTCATCTATTTTTTTCCCTTTGTTTTGATTTAAGTAAATAAAAAGTCAAAAAGTTAAAAACTAGTATAGGAATCCAGTTGTAAAATATTTATCAGTAATCGTTTTATTGTGCCATAAAATGTTGTCTCACTGCTGAAAATATCAATTATGTAAAAATTATGCAAATCTATACTTTCATTTCAGAAAACATATTTTTATCTTTTCCTTGAAGAGAAAGCAAGAAAGTAGAAGGTAGATGGTTATCTAAGAAACCTTTGTCAGTATAAAAGGGGAGTATGCATACTTCTCAAACATACAAGGCCATGGATGACTGGAAGACCAGCAGAATTCTCCTGCTTTGTCAGCTGTGTTGCCCAGATCCCTGTGAGATGAACGGCAGCGGGGCAGGGGGGCGGGGGTGGGCGTGGAAGTGCTCATGAAATAATCATAAGTAGCATCTTTCTAACGTGGGGTTGAATACCACCTGCCAACAGAAGTTGTCTTCTTTTTGCTGTTACCTTAATGCCAGTGGGATAAATTGTGTTAGTTAACCTGAGATAAGAACATCACTAAAAGTCATTAGCAGTTTTTGGCTCCTGCAGATGTCCTGTGAAATGTTAGAAATGGAGGTTCTGTCCTTAGCCTCTCCCCTCCGCGGGTCGCCCTGACGGCTCCAACCCCTCCTCCTGCTGCCGGGCAGCCTCCAGGCGGGGCCGAGCAGGTACTGGCGGGGCTTCGCACCGGTGTGCGACCGCAGGCCCTGCGGGCGGCCTCACCCCGCCCCGGCAGCGTGTCTGCGGCGCAGGTAAGGCAGGGCGGCGGGGCCGGCGCTGGGGAGAGGTTGGACCGGCGAGGAGACTCACAAATGGGGTGCCTCGCTAGGTGAACAGCCACTTGTTGGCTTCGTGGAAAGCGTTTAGCGCTGGCAGTGCTGCTCAGAGGGCTACTGACATTTCCCTTCGGGTCTGAATGGAGAAAAGGGGAAAGCCGCGGTAGTCGCTGCGGAAGAGAAGGCGTTGAGACAAGTATAACTTCTTTTATTTTCCTTTTCCCCCTCTGCATATTGTATACCTGCTGATCTCTTTAACATTCCACTACTCTGAGCTCATATGCCACTGTTAAAAACATTCCATAGGTAGTTCTGCCCCAGGTTTTGTTAGAATAAAGTTGTCTTTTATCACTTTTCAACTAGATTCAAACTATATTCAACTATAGTTTGCCTTTCTCCTTCCGAGTTAGCTATCTTGCTCTTGCAGTTGGGTAGAAACCACAGCTTGGTTTCCCATTATTCATTACTATTTGTCAGATAATAATTCTGCAGTCTTGGAAGAGACACTATAATTCCTCCATACCTCAGTTCCCAGTCTTCAAAATGAAGGTACTAAAATGTCATTCTTTTACCCCTTTTCTCTTTAGACACAAAATTCTTCAGAACAGGGAATTTTACGCCTACCCAGTGAATCAATAGACCCCTGTACAAAACTACAGACACCTCTAGAAATGTAAATTTATGTACTGTCATATCAAAATGGATCCCTCTAAAAGTTTTAGCTACAAACTAACTCTTAGATGCCTCAAACTCTTCTAAGTAGAAAACAGTCGCTGAGTACTCCACACACTAGAGTAAATAACTAAAGTGACTTACTAAAGTAATAACTGCTAATTTGGGCAGTTGTATAAACTACAGCGCACTGGATTCTAAAATCATATAGTCCGGTTTGTTTCATGTAGGCTTGCCACAGTGTGCTCCCTGTGTACTGCTGAGGAAACAAAAGACCCATCCATAATATGTCATTAGATCTGGAGAAGCCCTTAGACAGAGTCAGCTTCAATCATAGATTATGCCACTCGGCTCTTTATTTTGCAAAAGCATCTCCTCTTTTTTGTGAGCTCAGTTTCCAGGTGGGTTCAACACCAACAGACTGAAATAATCCTAGCAAAGGAGCAGGAGCTGCTAATTGGCTGCTCAATCAATCCTAGTTTGACTATTCATTTTCAGCCACTGGTTCTGAAAAGGTGTCTTAACAGGAGGGAGACAGCACTGAGTCTTTGTGCTGCAGATCCTAATCAGATGCATAAATCTTCCATCGTGTTAGTATCTACAGAATAAGTAAATGGTCATCCAGCAAAATCCCCTTTCTTAAAAAGTTTCTGAGTTTGTAATTTTGTGTTGTCATATATACAGTCATTTTCACTGTAAGGTATTTGGCAACTTTTTTTCTCTGTCATCTGAATAAATAGTAATTTCACAATAAGAAACAAATTTTGGAGACAGTCCCAGGACTAAAATATTGTTATAATGAGCCAAAATTGTCCCTGTGGATGTGCCAGCTGCACATTGCTCAATGTCAAGTGGCAGGAGCCGTTTCTATCGATCAGTCTTCCAGGCTGAGCAACAGACACAGCCTAAAAGAGTGTTTCAGGCTGGAAATCACTGAGATCACAACCAACACTTTATAGATCTGAGAACTGGTGGGAATATGCACAAATGGGGAAGGATTAGCACCAGCTATAGTAAGCATGTGGCCTCTTCTGTGTCTCATAGGCACACTAGATGCTATTACACCTGTCAGTTCCAAAGCATTAAATGTTGCTTCATCTTTATCAACATGCATCCAGAAAGCATTCCCTACAGCAGCACTGTTATACCACAGGTAAACATCATCATTTCCAGACGGGATGGCATCATGTCTAAACAGCAGTGGCTTTTTAAGATTATTAAGAGCAATATTTGATATTCAATTTCTTATTTCCTAGATGTGTAATTGCAAACATTTAATTTCTCTGGATAGGGTCTGGACAAGTCCTAAGGGAATATTTCATGCCTCTTGCAGATGATGTTTAAGGAATTAGTGCTGGAAAATACCCCTGTATTCAGCACTGGTGAGGCCGCACCTCGATTCCTGTTTTGGGCCCCTCACTCCAAAAAGGACATTGAATGACTCGAGCGTGTCCAGAGAAGGGCAACGAAGCTGGTGCAGGGTCTGGAGCACAGGTCGTACGAGGAGCGGCTGAGGGAACTGGGGGTGTTTAGTCTGGAGAAGAGGAGGCTGAGGGGAGACCTCATCGCCCTCTACAGCTCCCTGAAAGGAGGGTGCAGAGAGCTGGGGATGAGCCCTTTAACCAAATAGTAAGCGATAGGACAAGAAGGAATGGCCTCAAGTTGCACCAGGGAAGGTTTAGAATAGATATTAGGAAGCATTTCTTTACAGAACGGGTTGTTAGGCGTTGGAATGGGCTGCCCAGGGAGATGGTGGAGTCCCCATCCCTGGAGGTGTTTAAGAGTCGGGTCGACATAGTGCTGAGGGATGTGGTGTAGTTGGGCACTGTCAGTGTTAGGTTAATGATTGGACTGGATGATCTTCAAGGTCTTTTCCAACCTAGACAATTCTGTGACCTGCATTTCCTACACCTCAGAAAAGCCCAAAATTCCATATGAACTTATCTGAACATAAGGAAAAAAAAAAGGAGACTTGGTCTGGCAGATGCTGGATCCTTCAACACCTAAGGAAAACATGCACATTAGGTGTTCAGCATCTAGTTTGATAAGCCTGAAATCAGTGTCTGAAACTTAATTTTATAGAAAATGAAGACACATGGTTGCAAATTAGAGATTGTGTAACCACAGAAATGTTGATGAAACAGCTAAACCCAAACTGATTTGTCTCTTCTTAGCAAGGCAATTTAATTCTCTACTGTTAAGCCAGAGGTGGCGCTGATTTAAAATTCTTTACCTTGAAACCTTTGTATCAGTCTTCAGTTTCAGAACTTTTTTATGCAGTTAACATGGCCTTTCGGTTCAGTGCACTCAGGAAAGCAGATAAAGACATAAATGTGTGGGTTGTTTTCAATAAATGGTGCATCTGTGAAGTAAAAGTAAAGAGGGTGAAGAGTACTGTATAATGAAATAAAATATCATTTATTATCTAACTTGTATAGCTGTGAAATCTCTTTCACATGGTCTTTTCATAGAGATTCCTGTGTAGTCTCTAGCTTGATGAAATTGCAGTCCATATAAAATTCTGTTTCCTCTGAATTTTATATTGTCTTCCTTTCTATACTTTACTATGAATCTCAGAACTACACCCATTTCTATATATCTATGGACTGATGTCATATATAGCTATGGTTGACATTACAATACTGGGGTAAAACCAATACAAAATATGCTACACTGCAACTTTGAAAATTTAAAATTTAAATTTAATTTTCCAGTTGTGAAGCTGAGGAAAAGTTTTGTTCTGTTAAAAATTAACTTGGTAGCAAATTTGAATCTATAGATAAGCTACAGTAAATTATATTGTTATAATCTAAGTGTACATTAAAATGGTCAGTACAAGATCTATTGTATTAAATCATATTATTCTGTTTTTTCAGTATTGTTCATGTACTTCACAAATATATCCACTGCTCAGACTGCTGACTGTCTGCACTTGAGGGAGCAGTGTATCAATGCTGCAAATGGATGTGACAGTGTCTGGAAGATTGTTGAAGATGTCTGCAATATTTCAGGTAATTCTTTATGGTTTTATTTTGAATTGCTAATAGTTGCATATTCATAATTTAATATAATATTGCTTTGGTAACTGAAGTCAGTGAGATTTCAAAGACAAAATGATGGCAGAAGACAGTCAACTTCTGAAATCCTTGACAGTGGCCACTATTATTATCAGTAACAGTCAGACTGTCTCTTCAATAAGGTGATAAATGAAATTTCTGTACTATGAATAAAATCAGAGTCTGAACCAATGCAAGTCTGAATTCAGCAGAAATTATGCTCTTGTGGGATCCTGTTAGACAAAGCCAACGTGCAACTGGAAAAAAATTCCAACTTTGCTGTCTATAATTTGGAGGAGTTGATCTGCTCCCTCCCTGGAAATGTTCAAGGTCAGGTTGGATGAGGCTTTGAGCAACCTGGGCTAGTGGAAGGTGTCCCTGCCCATGGCAGGGGGTTGGGACTAGATGATCTTTAAGGTCCCTTCCAACCCAAACCTTTCTATGGTTCTATAAGTTTGACCTGAAACTTATCCTAATCTCTGTTGTCATTCAGATAAAAATGTTCCTTCTCTGAAGGTCTTCTGTCTTCTTGGGTACCAGTCACCATTCTCTCTCTGTCTTTAAAACCCTCTGGTGGTGGCTTGAACCAGGACACCCTCCAAGACCTTGCTGTTAAATTTTGAGTATTTACTTGCCAGATGCTGTGAATATGGAAGGGAGAAGAATGGTAGTGTCATTAGACCAAGCTAGTAATGATGCCTTTGTTGGCAGATAAATGTCAAGGGCTTTGATCTACCAAGGCTACATTGGTACTAGCAAATAAAATAGGCCAGTGACTGTTTTTTGGCCCTGAGTTCAACTGTTACAGGGCAACATGTATCCATACAACTTAACTGTCTTACCCCCATTCTGTTGCCACAAAACTCCCTTTTGGGAGTGACTCTGGGCCCACACTATCTTCACAGTCTAACTGGCTCAGTCCAGACTGGGTGCCATGCAAAACTGCAGCAGTATACACACAGTCACTTGCCATTAGCCTAGCCCATGCCTTGGCCCTGTTCATAAATACAACAAAGGGCATTTAGGTAGATAACTGCCATTTCTAGCAACTTAATTACATACGGCAGGTTCTCTGTCACTGGGAATGTGAGGTATCTATATCTCCATGGAAACCTCCCTTCTCCTTATATTGACATTATTTCAACAAAATCAGCCATGTCCTGATGCAATAATCTGTTCTGAGATGCAGGTGCAACAGAGTTGATAAAGTGAGTGTCCCTCTGTCTGTCTTGATGTCAGGATCCAGTCTAACGTTTGGTCCATGTGGGAAGCCAGGTATCAGAAGATGCAGCTTGACTTCATCCTCAGTAGCCCATTGGTAGAACATTCACCTTCAGCGTGAGCTACCTGAATGCCTCTGTCTGATTTGATGCAGAGATTTGAGCTGAAGTGTCCCAAGTCACAAGTCAGTATACAAAATAATTAGAGCAGAAAATTCTCTGAGGGGTCCTTCTTAGTGTGTCCTGTTCCAGATAGATATCTGCTTTGCATAGAATGGCTGAATATTTTTAAAAGCAGAGAGAGTAAATGAAAAAAACATGATAACCTAATGGTTACAACAGTCCCCAAAGGAACTGGGCTTCAGCTCATGTTCTACTGACTTTTTAAATATTTTATGTGAAGTGGAACAGTCTCAAAAGATATGGCTGTGGTTTGAAAAAAGTATTGGAATATGCAGTACTTTCATTCTCAAGATACTGACCTAAAGATGAGCCCTCTAGAACCAAACCTCTTCCCCAAATCAGAAGTTGAATTTGCTTCTCTCACATCATTCACCTTAGCACCAAGACTACTTGATATAAAGATCAGGATTTGTACTGTAGCCTACTCTTCATCATATCCTGCAACCAGATGAAATGGGCCAGCATGATGACTTCTGTGGTCTCCCCTTTGGATTTGTTGCATTGTCCCATAATATGCAATTTGCCTCACTCACTATGTGCTTATTCACTGATGTTATTTGTAACTGAGACAGACAAATCTACTGCAAATAAACTCTTCTTGTGATTGCTTGTTTGGTTTTGCATCTATATATTTCTTTAGGATAATGGCCTTTGGCAAGGACTCTCCAACATTGCAGGGCACTCAGGTATTGCGTTTGGTCTAGGACAAATTATTCTAAATGTGGTTATTAGGTGCCATGACCCCAGAGGGTGTAAACCTGCTGTCAGCTGATGGTATTCCTCAGAGAGCCAACAGAAACAGCGACAGAAATCTACCAGCAGCATTATTAGTAAGAATAACATTATACTATCTTTCAAAAGTACTCTACATGTGCGAGACTAAAATCTTCATTGATCAGTTGTATGAATTGAGAAGGCTGAGCAGGAGCATGTTAGTTGAAGGCAACAGGCAACGGGGCAGATATTCCTATTGCTAGTTTCTTTATGAAAAACCTAACTGCAAATGGTAATTATACTCCTACTCTGTGGTATGGGTTCAATAACTCAGTCCATCAGGTTGTAATCTCCAAGTTAAATGTATGCAATATCAGGACCTCCATCTTTTGTTCTTCAGAGCGGGTCTGGGGGCGCTCTTCAGGTGACTGCCTAAGTTACTCCTTTGTCTGTCAAACTGTCCATCACTACTCCCCCACTACTACAGCAGCATTTTCAGTCTCAGTTTATAGTCCTCTGAGTCCAATCCTTCTTTCACTTCCTTTTCCATGCAAAGGTACATTGAAAAAAAAAAAGGGGGATGAAAACGTCTATGAGTCTTTTTCCAGATCAGTATAGAAAAGACCAAAATATTTAATTTTGATGGAATCAGAAGTTTTCATATTGACGTCAGAAATATTTCATCATCAGAAAATGAAGATTTTAAGGTTTTGAAAAAAAAAAAAGCGCTCTGATTTAACCATGAGTATACATTTTCTTAATTTTTCAGAACTGGGAACATCTGGATAAAAAAAAAAAAAAATCTCAGATTTCTCAAATATTAAGGAATCACATTTTGAATTAGATTTGGAAGTAAATTTATTTTTCTTAGAGAAACAGATCATTGAGATTGGAAAGGATCTCTGGAGGTCTAGTCCAACCCCCTGCTCAGGCAGGGTCAACTGCAGGCTGTCTTCCAGGACTGTGTCCAGTCAGATTTTTAATATCTCCAATGACAGAGACACCAAAACCCCTCTGGACAACCTATTCCACTGTTAGACAACCCTCATAGTAAAAAAGTTTTTTCCGACCTTTAAATGGAATTTCTTATACTTCAGTTTGTACCTCTTGTTCTGTCACTGGACAGCACTGGAGAGTCTGCCCCTGCTTTATTCAATCCCCTCCCATCAGGTATTTAATACATACAGATATGTGTATCACCCCTGAGCTATCTCTCCTCCAGGCTGAGGAATACCAGCTCTCAGCTTCTCCTCATAAGACAGATGCTTCAGTCCATTAGTCACATTTGTGGCACTTCGCAAGACTCACTGCAGTATGCCCATGTGCCTCGGAAGCACGGCACTGGACACAGCACTCCAGATGTGGTCTCACCAGTGCTAGAGGGGGGAAAACCCAGTACTCTTCTCTACAGTCTTCAGATCCAATTCCCGCTGAAATGACAAGAGCTGACTGTGCAAGAACAGAGATTGTCAGCTTCTATTCTGTCATGCTCCTATCTGTGGTCCCATGTACATAAATTAATTACATAGAAATAAATCAAATTATTAATAATGGCTGTCAAGCATTAGGTCAGAGAGCACTTTTTGTAAATGCCTTGAAAGCATATGTATAAGCTAAAATATATTACCAAGAACTAATCAATGATAAAGCAACAATAATTGAAAACCAGCAAAAGAATATTTTCTGCTCTTCATCACAGCTGAATCAACACAGTGTGCAAACAGACCAATACTGATAATAGGTTATTTCTATACAGCTTTCAAGAGGCCAGGCAAGTGAACCCCATAAATCTGATGTGTTTCCTGATTCTGTCTATGCCCTTTGTATGTTCATAACCCCACAACCTACGTCTCATCCCCTGGTTGTCAGCTGCTGTGATTCCATGCAGTGCACAGGGCCACTCTGAACATAGCCCCTGTACCTGACTCCTAACCACAACTTGTTAGTGACATGAAGATAGATAAGCTGAGTGAGGCTGGGATGCTGAATAAAATATAGTGGGATTTGTGTTCTTTATTCTTCTGTCTCTACTACCTCCACCTTTGAAGTGTCCTCAGGACCTTGAAGAAGGCAGTCATAAATTTTGTAAATTAGCTAATTTTTACACAAGCCCCTCCTGATCTTTGTTGCTCTTTTTCTACCTCTGGAATTTCTCCTCCTGAAATTGTCTCCTGAAAGACCTTTGTTATCCCTTGCTCACTTGATAAAATATAGAGCGGAACATCCACCCTCCCACTTCCATGGGCCTCCATAGTTCCCATGTCACCACATACTTTCCATGGTCAGGGAGTGTCCTACATCTATGACCTTTAGTAACTCCTATTTAGATCTCCTGAGCTTCTTGGCTACTAGAAAAAGAAAGGTGAGGGCTAAGGGTCAGGATCATTCTCTACTTCTAAAAATGCAGAAGGTAAGTTGGAAATGGGGTTGAAGAGATACAGCCAAGCCTGGGCACCATGACATCCTCCTTTGCTCCTACGAGAGGTGAAGTGGGAGCAAAGGCTGGGAGCTGTAGCTCTTGCTGGATTCCAACATCCCCCTGTAGCAGTGCACATTTTAATACATCCCCAAACCCTCCTTAGACAGCAACAGCAACTGGAGAAAGGGCAATGCAGACACTGTTTGAGAAAGGATTTGGGGGTGGCAGGATGGGGATGTGCACTCTGAAACAGCTAGTGCTCATTCCTTCAGGTACAGGCAAAATGCACTATATCCTCTTGCAGGTCTTTGCTTACACTGCCTTCCGCTGCTATTTATGTCAACAACATATAAATGACATTAAAACTAATCACATTAAAGCTTGTCCGTGGCGGATATGACACATGGCTGCTAGCTTTGCAGTTTTACCAGAGCGCATGGTCTCTGCTGCTCCATGCTAGTCACCAGGGAAGCAGCAAGGCAGGAAGGCAGACATCACCATTGACAGGGCAGAGACAATAGCATATGTGCTCAATAGATTAAAACCGATCCTCATTTTGCCCCGTGACCAGCTGGTTCTTGTGAGCCACATGCTCCTTATCTTACATATTGTGAGATACTGAATAACTATGAGGCACAGAGAGGAAATGTGCAGGTTTGGACACCTGCATAACTGTTTTGACAAGATAGACTATGGCTTTCACAAAACAAAATTTTCTTAAATGGTATTAAACTGCTTCTCATGTAATTTTCTTAAGTAACTTGTAACTTTCTTAAGCAGTAACAAGCAATGAAATCCTCTTAAAACTTTGTAGTCCATAAAGTAAAGGGATGAGTGATTTACCTTTGTACCAGAAACTAGTACTTTATTTTTACTAAGCATACAAGGACAATATAACCTGACAGCCTGTGTGTCTGTCATTGAGTCCAAGTGCACATGCAAGCAAAGGGCTTGAAACTGGACTGGTAAATTCAGGCTTCTGTATAATTTTTTATGTTAACTTCTCCCTTATTTTTATATACATATATAAAAAAAATCAGAATATTCTTGGACTACTTTAAATTTGTTGTCATTGCCAAACTTAGGCAATGAAGTTGTTCTTTAGGGTATCAGTCTGAGGGCATATCCAAATGACCAGGAATGTGTAGGTTGATGCCATCCTCATGAGTGAAGAATCTAAATCAGAGCTGACGTCCCTCAGGATAGGGTTAGCATCACCATTATCACAGACTGCGCCTGCTCTCCTACATCCCCTCTCTTACTCTGTTACGTGGCAGTACCTTACCCCACACTGTGAATTTCTCTCCCTATACCAGGCACTTTATTTCTACACAGGAACAAGATTAGTGTCTCACTGCCTCTGTTCAGGATGTGCCCCTCAACTCCTGTGCACCTTTTTAGTTTGGTCTCTGTACCTCATCTACCTAGAATAAAAGATATGAGTTTAAGGTTTTATGTACTTCGGAAATAAGAACAGAAACAGACGTTCTGGCAATGGGTCAGATCGAATAAAAAAGATAGTATCATACCCACAACTTTATTATATCTCTCTGACTATTATTTAATACTTATAAATTATGACAGGTTTTCAAACAAAACTAAGTTCAAACCATCTTCTCTTGGCAAAACATATTATTTTTGTGCTTCAATTTAATTGTTTTATGTAACCGTATCCCTTAAGCGTTCATAAACATTAACAACATTATAATTTTAATCATAAGTTCTAGGTAATAGATGCAAGGCAGAAGACACTATTGGATGTAATAGAATCATCCAGGTCCTGGTTGATGAATACCCAGAATTTAAAAACTGTGTCTGCAGCACAGACGATTTCTGTAGCATCACAACTTTGCTTGGAAAACACTGCAGCATTGATAAAGGTAATCAAACGTAAAGATTTCATTATGAAAACCAAAAAGAAATATACATTTCATAACCCTCGATTTAATTGGATTCAAGTTTCTTTGCGTATTTCTCAAATCTGATAATTCCTAAAAAAAAAAAAAAGTTTGTCTTTTCTATGATATTCACACACCAATATGTATATGAAAGCAATGCCATATGTGCTTTAAAATAAAATGAAAAAACAATAGAAGGCATGTGAGAAACTCGAATGGTTTTTAAAGCTCTTGCTCAATTCAGTGAAATGCAAGAGTGAACATAAGATGTGTGTTGAGGGCTACTTGTTGCACAAGGAGGCTTGAGTGCCACTGGATCTATGTTACGTACAGAGAGCCAAATCCAGCCACCTTGTGAATGGGAGTGTGGGTGAATGGGGATGTACAGCTCTGCAGTTGTGTCACCCTGTTTTACAGCAACATCTTCACGACATCTAGGTGAGGCTACTGGAGGTGGGAAACACTGTTACTGCCTTCATAAAGCTGTACTAAATATATAAAGTGCATCCTTTTAAAAAATCCAGTGTAATCAATAACCCCAGCTCCTTTAAATTTATTTTTTATTATCCAAGAACTGTTTTCCCTTCAAAACACCTATTTCTATAATTGAGAATTTACTTGGTGCATAAAATCCTTGCAGTTTCTAATCCAGTTTCTCCTGGAGTAATGATTAGTAAAGCTGACATAAGAAAGGTAAAATCAGCCAGTGGAGGAGAGTCTGGAAAGTGAGCCCCAAAGTATTGGCATTGATCCATCACTCCCTGCTGGCATCAATCAGTGTACATCATATAATAGTAGAATATATGGTTTTATTACAGATGAAATAATATCCTGACTTGTTTCTCCTTGCCCCAAACAAGAAAAGTGGGTATCTAAAACTTGGTGTTGATGTCATTGGAACAGTTGCTTTTGCTTCTAGCAAAATGAAGTAATTTTATATTTTTTGCTGATTGAGATTACATTTCTCACCAGTATAGCAAAAAGTTCAGATGGAGTAGTGGTTTTACCTACAGATGATAGTTTATGGTGTTGGTCAATGCTTTAAGGATTAATTCTCCCTATCTAACCTAAATTACTATTTTAGGTAATAAATAAACTGTCTTCTGGAATTTCTATACTCTCTTAACAAATTCTGCATTGAATTAAGATGATAATCCATTATATGTCCAAATTGTGGTTAAAGTTATGTGAGATTAATTCCTTTATGCAGTAATTTTAGTGAGGGTTTCTCGTATTACTGTTTGCAGCTGAATTGTTAAAGTAGACTGTATTATACAGCTACCAGCACATAGTAAGCATGAGGTAAGCATGCAAGACTGAAATTATTATGTATTTACATACAGCTCAGAATTATACTAGGCTGTTTCATTCATTTTTTTTCCTTAAGACAATTACTCTTTTTCTGAGTTTGTTTTGATCTGAGCAGTGATGACGGTCCATCTTCCATTTGATGTATATCTCTGTTTGTACCTGTATATTGTTTGTACAGAATATTTGGAAACAGCCTCAAGAGCAGATACTCAACTGAGTTTTAGGCAACACAGAAACCCCGAAGACCAAAGACACCCAGAAGAATTAGGGAACGACTGCAGTATTTCAAAACAACTCTGTGAAGAGGACCCTTACTGCTTTTTAGTGTATAAGAGCTTCCAGCGAGCATGCAAGGAGGATGCAGCAAAATGCAGGCTCCCGATGGTCAACCAGGAGTGTTTGTCAGCCTGGAAAGAACTGACAAAAACAGTGCTGGGAGAGTGCAAGTGCTCAGAGCCACTTCAGATGAGATGCATTAAAATATGGAAGGGAATATTTAACAACCCTTGTTTACAATACTCTCAAGAGAGCCAAGCTTCAGCAGCTAGTGAAAATGATGATGATGGTGATGATGATGACGATTTTGATGATGTTGACGATGAGAAAAATCAGGACACTGATATAGGTTAGTGGTATTCCAGCAGTTTGAATGCTTTCATACATAACAGAAGTGTGCACAAGCCTGGGGAAGAAAAAAAAAAAAAAAAAAAAAAAAAGTTTTCTTAATCATTTGCAGTTTAACAGTGGAAACAGGATGGTTTTAAGAACTTTATTTAGATGCAAATGAATAATGTGATAGCAAAACTGTAGCCTAAGTGCAAATACAATTGTCCCTCAATGTGTTAATCTGATACAACCTGATCCAAATCAGTTCTTTTGAGTATCACACTAATACTAGAAATGATATAAGACCAATAACAATAATTTTCTAATAGCAAGAATTGTCCACCTGCCTTGACTTTAGATCACGGCAAACAGTTGAGCTTGAAACAGGGTGCACTGACGAACACATTAAAGCCTCTGGCCTTTATTTATTCACAAGAAATCTGACTTTATACTGTGCTGAGCACCTCTAAAACCTCTTCTTGAGCTCACAGGATCTGTAATTATGTAGAGAATGTTATCAGCAGCCATTGATAAACTGTGCTTTCACCCCAAAACTTATGAATATATGTAACAGTGATTTTGGAGTTTGTTAACAAGCTGACAGGTACTATTTTGTCAAGCTAATTTGTTTTATTCTTGTTTATTTTTACTACTGGCACTGTGCCAGCAACACAGCCAATACTTCTAAAAGCTAAGCTAAGACATGATTTATCACTTATGCCTGTATCCATATCTTCTATTTTCTAGATAATATTAGTACAGAAACAAAATTACAGTGGAGCTTATCTGCCCTCTCCAAGCAAGGTAACTGAATTTACTTATGAATTCTAATAATTGGTTTTAGCTCTGTTTGCGGATAGGGTTCAATGTATCTCAAGATTAAATTAATACCTTCCATTCAAATTACCAAAGAGTCAATAGATCCAACATATTTTCAGTTAAGCTGTCAGGTAGATAAGAATCCAAAAATAGCAGGTAACAATCCCGATCCTGTTAAATTTACAAAGGCAATTCTTATCCCATAAACATTTTAGGGTCAGAAATATCTAGATCTTTTTGGAAGGTTTATAGCATAGTCTACAAAAACCTAAACAGGCTTTAGAATCACAGAAATCCTGTTTATACGCTCTTCTCCATTACTTACTATGTAGCCTAGCATAAGACTGCATGCTGGTGATTTCAGCAGTTTCAGGTATCCACTAGCCACTAGCTTCCAGAATCTGTCACATACCAGAAAAAATTTCCATGTTGACATTTTTCACTTTCTTCTACCTTATTTATCTGGCAGGGGCAGAAACTTGCAGAGCTGGACCAGACTGTTGGGGAGTCAAACTTCTTTTTAATGGGAATGTTGCAGGCAGAATGACTACTAATCATCACTTGACAAACATTTTCTTGTGATTTCATTTTAAAAATTGTTACTCTTTTTAGCATACACAGAGAACAGAACCTGTTTGGATATGAACAAGGAGTGTGTTGAAGATGAAGTATGTAACAAACAGTTGTCCCTGTACCTTAAGGTTTGCTCAGTAAATAAGAAATGCAACATGGAAGAATGTCAAGCAGCCATAAGGTTCTTCTATCAAAACATGCCTTTTGAAGTTGCCCAAATGATGACATTTTGTGATTGTATCCAGCCTGATGAATCCTGCCACAGAGCCAAAGAACTTCTCCACGGCAAGCCCTGTGCAGTTACTGCAGTTCCACCCCCATCATGTTTGAGTGTAATCCACATGTGTGAAGAGAATGAATTTTGCAGGTAAGTAGAAGAAAGATTTTGCCTACTAATGTGCCTGTGAATAAGGATTTTTTAATATATGCCATATATCTCTAGCAATTTTTTTTTTTTTCTGCACTCTATCTACTGAATATTATTGCGCTTTTTTGACATCTTCACAGATGTCTGCATCAACTGTGGTAATTCCACGAGTAATTCCACAAATAAACTGAAAAGGTTAATTCTCAACAAGGTCTAGAATCTAGTGTGGGGTTTGCTTATGCTTCTTTCATGACTCTTAATGCTATTTCTCCTGGACAAACTATGCCACTGCGTATTTTCATTACCGCTTTCTTCAGATAACACCTGCCAGTCTTGCACTTTTGCCCTCTAGCAGTTTGCACAAATTGTGCAGCAGATCAGATGAAGTTTGTTTGGTTAAAGTAATTACGTCTTCCGCCTCAGAGTCTGACCCTTTGTACTCAAAGGCTACAAAATCACCCATTCAGAAAACTCTCATCTTACTCTTTTCATCTCAGGCATACTGATATTGGGGGGAAAAAAAAAAGAACAAAAAAAAAAGTCCTGAAACATGCACAGACCACCAAACTCATCAAGAATAACACAGTTTTCAGATTCAAGTTTATTTTAGGAAATACGCAACAGGATTAGCCCATATTCATATTTCTACTTATTTGCCACCATTTGTGCATGGTCAACTGGCTCACTTTGGTTTTCAGTGTAGTCATGAGTTCCCTTATGGATTACACTTGAATTTTACCTGAAAGCTGTACTCAAATTAACCTTCAACAAACCAGAAGGCCAAAAGATGCTTTCAGTTCCGTGCAGGCTATTCAGATTGACGTCAGTGGGAATTGCCCCTTTTTATGTCAAGAAGAATTGGTCTACAAACGTTTGTCTGTGCATGTGCATGTGTACACATGTAATACCATAATGGAGACTTGCTGAATTACTCATTATTTTGGGAACATTAATGTTTCCTGGCACTGACAATAAGTGGATATAATTAGCAAAATTAGTCTGTGAATTATGGCTAGCCATATCTATAAATCAGGAGGTGAATAAAAATAATTCCATTAGCACAGAGGTGGCATCTGCTTTGAAACCTTTGCTTGTGTAATGAAAAGATTTACAATAATGTCCTAGTTGGTATTGTAACAGTCCATATTTTTCCATGTAACTTGCTTGTTGCAGCTACACAATATCAAGTATCAGTAGTAACTTAATAGCCTAATTTTATGAGTAAGGAAATATTGTTTTAATATATTAATATACAATATACAACAGTTTACCTTTACCATCCCCTAACATTTAATGTAAGTGGTAAATTGGTTTCTAATTAATATTTACAGATTTCTTAGTTAATTTTAATAGATTATTTTCTATGGTAATTCATAGTGTATTAAAGGCCTATTTTATTCTATCCTAAGAGCAAATAAACTGAAATAATTTGAAGTCATTGAGCCGGGAAACAAAATTATTCTTGTAACTTACCTTCACTACCAATTAATCTTTAAGGTCAACTGAATTCCTTCTAATTTTTCCTGGGCCTTGGACATTTTGCATTTTGTTAGCATTCGGGAGGAGGTGTTAGATGTAGATTTTTTTATGTAAAATAAATTCAGTATTAATTCTTCTGTCACACTGGCCAACAAACTGATCCACTAGAACACCTCCTGTTTTGGTTTCATTGTGATGACTAGTCTAATTCCTCTATCCACATTTCTTCTCTGAGGATCTGAAACTTGGTATTCACACGGATTTCTGCTGGACCCTGAGAAAATCTCTGCAGTTGCTGATGAAAAGTGCAGTTGCTTTTTCTCCAAAACTTTTTTTGTAAAACCAAGTTTTCCCTCAAATTACAATTTTTCAGATTTCACTCAAACCAATTAGGTGCAAATCAGAGCAGAATTTAGGACAGCTATCACAGAATATTGTGATTTCTAGGGCTTAAGTGGTACCTGGAAAATACACTCTTTTCATTCTGATCCTTAAATGTCTTTTTGTGAAATCACAAATTTTTGAAACTGTCATTGTATATTTCTTTTTTTTCCTGCCAGGAAAAAATACACAACTTTTCGGTCCAAGTGTTGGAGACATGTGACAAAAAAATGCTACGATGATGAAGCTTGTCTTGAAACCTTAATCAAGGGTGACATGCCCTGTTCTGCAAATGCGGATTGCAAAGCAGCCTACATTAGCAACTGGGGCACAATGCTGCGCGTGGAGTGTACCTGTCAGAATTTACCTCCTGCAGAGCAACCTTTGTGCAAGCTCTTCCATCATATACTTCACAGCAAATCCTGTTTCAGTGAGTTACGTGAGTAACACACAGTACTTTAAAGAATAATTAGTTTTAAAGAGTATTCAAATGCTGACTTACCCCAAATCTTTACTATATCTTTGCTACCACTGATTTCAGCAAGATTTGTATCTTTGATTTTTTAAATCAAATTAAAAACATTTCTCTGGTTTGGGGAAATATTTTATATTAATAGTAAATCAGTCAGATCAATTACATGTCTCATTACATGAATTTGCTGGAATAAAAACAAAAGAATGATTTCTGGGATGTATAATATTATGCAGATTAGAAAATTCCCAAAGCCTTCCTGTCATTGCCTTAATATTGTACTTTGGTACAGTATTTTTACAACTAATATCATACAATCATAGAATGGTTTGGGTTAGAAGGGACCTTAAAGATCATCTAGTCTCAACCCTGCTGCCATGCACAGATACCTTCCACTAGATGGCAGGTATCTTCATGGCCTCCTCTGGACTCGCTCCAACAGGTCCATGTCCTTCTTATGCTGGGGGACCCAGAGTTGAACACAGCACTCCAGGTGGGATCTCACAAGAGTGAAGCAGAGGGGGAGAATCAACTCCCTCAACCTGCTGGCCACACTTCTCTTGGCCACACTACAGTTGGACTGCATATTGTTGGGTCACATTAAGCTTCATCAACCAATACCCCCAAGTCCTTCTCTGCAGGGCTGCTCTCAATCCACTCATCACCCAGCTTGTATTTGTCCTTGGGATTGTCCCAACCCATGTACAGGACTTTGCATTTGACCTTATTAAACTTCATAAGGTTTGCACGGGCCCTCAAGCCTGTCAAGGTCCCTCTGGATGGCATCCCTTCCTTCCAGAGTGTCAACAGCACCAAGCTTGGTGTTGCCAAGCAAAGCTGCTGAGGGTACACTCAATCCCACTGTCCATGTTGCCAACAAAGATGCTAAACGATGCTGTAATGATACATTATGTAATACGATATATTATGTTGTTTTTTCTTTCTTCTTGGAGTCTAAATATTAGTATATCTTACATGCATTCAGCGACAGATTTCATTCCACAGCAAATAACTTGAATGATTTAAATGGGACCTCTTAAAGAAAAGCTGCTGTGAATGGAGGCTTCAGGATGTGGCCTTCAGTAAAAACACTGGGATTAACTCAGATGAAATATATGTACTTTCTCAGAACTAGTAAAGCATAGAAGTCCTTGCAAAGTCTTTGTTTAAGAGAGAATTGTTAGTGCAATGAATGGCAGTATGGGAGCAAATATTAATGTTTTAGTCTGGATCTGGAGTGTGCCTTCAAAGCAAACGCCCCATTTTTCCCCATTTATTGTGCTGTGGGTCACATCACAGGGTGGTTCCTGGAGTCCTGCAGCCTAACTGAACCTGAATGTTCATCTGCTGCCTCTGCATCACTCCAGCTACATCCAGACATCCATTCCATGGACCAGATTAAAGACCAAAGTACCCTCTTCTCAAAATCTCTGCTCTATCACACCAGCTACTTTGCTACATAAATCCTCTCAGGATACACTACTTGCTAGTGCAAATACACTATGCTAGTCATCTTCTATACATAATTATATATATTCACAACCTAGCTTGGGAGAGGTAACTATATTTAAAGACTTCAATGAAAAGCAATTACTATTTCATAGTTCCATCTGATGGACTGTCTTCTAAAAACATTTATTAATTGCATGTATGCATTTCATTGAATGAATTAGCTAATTTTTTAGTTTTAGTAGCCAAAATGTTGGCACTGATAATAGTGTAATTTTTTTCTTGTCACTCAAAGTCTACTCAAATTAAAATCAAGTTGCTGAAACACTGCTCTTAAGCTTAGTTAATCACTACTAAAATTCAGACTCAGAAAAGTTTAAAAATCATTTGCCAGATCACCTGGAAAAAAAAACAAACAACATAACACTGTTAGATCTGAGACAGCATTGGTGATGTTTTGCTGATGAGCATTATTTGTTTGCTTGCTTTATGGCTGCATCTAAAGGTCCAAATGAGTGATCACATCATTGTGTTAGTTATTCTTTACCTATAAAGCAAAAAGATGATGCTCATGTCATAATAATTAAATAATGCTCATCAGCTTTTGCCATTCCCTGAAGCAGTCTCAGGATAAAATTGTTTTTGTGATGGAAACTTCCCTAACCTAACTAGGATTGAAGAACAGAAGCTTGCTTGCTCCTGTGGTGAAACGAATTCCTGTTGTTAAAACAAGAACAGTTTGGGGATCCAGGACCTTCAGCCAAGTAAAGGATTGGCACCTACTCTATAGAACATTTGCAGTCTTGTGAATCTTCCTTTTGTTTTTTTCTAGATATCTAGTTGTAATGCAGCTAAACTGTGCTGTGCTAAATGCCATCACCTTCATGGCAGTTCAGAGATGTGGAGTTAGCGCTCTGTTGCAGATCTCATCCAACCCGTTCTGTTAACTTATTCATCTGGCCTGATTGTGAACTTCAGATAACTTTCACTCTTACAGTGGTGATGACTTTTAACACTGAAGTCTTTCTAAACAGGCAGATACCCAGGGCTAGCAAAAGGGATCTTTGCCTCTAGAACTGGTGTGGACAGACCTGCAAGTGGTGTCCACACCATCACACCTTCCTACTGTCCTATGGCACTGCCTTGCTACAAATGTTTTCTCTCAGGGGTGCACTTACAGGATTAAAGCTTGCTGTGGACTCAGCAAAAGGCAAGAACTGTGATTAACTGACTGCTATATGAGACAGAAGTGCAACATGGATCAGTGCCAATGTAGGATCAGTGTCAAAACAGGAATAAGCAAATATGCCCATGACAGAAAATAAAAACTTCAGTTTCCAAAATATTTTAACTCTGGGTTGTACTTTTGGATCTCACAGAAACACTACATTACAAGAAGATTTAGTTCATTGCTATTTAGATGACATTCCAGGCTGCAAACCTGAGTCTTGTCATATCGTTTTCATTCCTAAAAATTTCTCATCTTACAGTTCATGTGAGTGACCATGCATATTCTGGCATGGTTTAGCCTATTGTTCTGTAAACTGTTCTATTTAGGTAGACCTGAAATTTGAAATCAAGCATTTTCGGATACATTAATGATATGCCCACAAAGAGGACAGGCCTTTCTGAACAAGCTGAGGTCTAGCAGTTCATTTGGAGAATGAGCTTTGCCTTTTGGAAATTATTTCAAACTGCTACCTATTTCTCATCACTTCTATATTGGTCAGGTGGGCCCAATACTTTTGGTGGGCCTATTTCTAAAATTGTTTCTGTGAAAAAAGAATTTAAGCTGTTTTGAGGCAGAGAGCATCTTTAAAGTACACTCATTCCCTGTAAGACAAACATTAGGGGACATATAACTGAGATGTCAAAGGAAGAATTTTCATTCACTTTCTTCACTGAATATCAGTAAACAATATTTTTAAATAGCTGCCTTTACAAATTCTGTGATTCTAATCAAAACACCAAACATTAATATTCACTTAAATAAGTATTTTAAAGTAATATTTTGAATGGATATTATCTTTCCAATATTCAGGTCAAATTTCCATTAAGAAGAAAGTTTTTCATTGGGTAAATACAAAAATACCAGGAGAAAAGCTTTCCAGAGCACAGCTCCATTCTTCTTCAATTAATGGTGAGTTTGGGCAAATCACTCCATGATTTTAATAGAAGTATTCTTGAAGATTTCCCTTGTGTATGATACGAAAGACTAAAGGTTGGGTCCCTTGGGTGGGTTCAGGCAAGTGTGCTCTACCTGTTGCTCCCCCATTCAACAGAATATGGAAAAATCTCTCTACCTGTTAGCTTAGCTTATATAACCACAAAATAAAGATAATAAGACTGAACCAATTTTTCTGATAAGTGGTTTTGAAATATGTGTCTCACAATCACTATAATTGGGGAAAATTAAGTTATTAAGTTCACCAGAGCCTGACTCTCCATACAGTCATTAAAGAGTAGTAGTCATAATGTTTAATACAAATTATCATATTTGATGTCACAGATACTTCTCGACTTTTTGTGCCATAGCAGTTACAACAACAAAATGAGGAAGCCACAGTAAGTCGTCCGGTTACACTCCATCAGACTTTACCTTCTCATGCAACAGAAGGGCATGCAATTGCAGATCATGATATCCCATGGGTTGAAGAGCTGCATCTAGTTTTATTTCCATGCATTTACAGTAGCAATTAAGTGACATAAAGTTAAAGGATATTGAATTAATACACAAAATTTCTCATGGTTGAAATAATATTAGCTTTATATTTCCTTTCGAATGACCCAATTACAGAGTGATAACACTATTAATGCACAAATACTGACTCTAATGAGAATGACCTGTTCTACCTTGCATGGGGCAGATTACAATACTCCAGACATTACTATGAATTAGTTCCCAGAATTTTTCCTACTGAATACTTTTATCAGTGAAAAGATAATTCAAGCTCTTCATGCCTTACAAAATGAAGGGGTTTCTATCTCCATCCTTCAACTATTGCTGAAGTAGGCAACCTGGAAAATATAAAAATAGATTAATGGGAATAGGATTCCTAAGACCTGTATGTGAATAATCAAGCATTTAGTTGTAATTTTAGCATTAAAATTACTTACCTAAGAATCATGCATGTTATCTAAGTGCTCTGAGTAGGCAGAGAAAAAAGTCAGGGACCCTCAGAGGAAGATTAATCCCACCTTTTCAGACTGTCTTTCCAGTGTCCTGGAAGTGTTGACTTCTCTTTGCCAACTACAGGCAGAGCCTGAATCTCTAACTGGAACAAGACTCTAGTGGTTAAATAATGCAAGTTATAATGCAAGAAACCCTGCTTTAAGTGAGAAAACTTAAAATGAGAGATACTTCACCCCTGTGACTAGTTCTAACTGCAGACCTTTCCCTCAGAGATTCAGATAAATGTTTGCAAAATGCAGCCTGCACCCAGTTAATTTTGTTCCCACTGAAGTCTGAATAATTTCCAAAAACCTGTCCTTGAACTCTTAACAGAATTCTGGATAGCCTTAGAAAAATAAAAAGAATGCTGACCAGCCTAAACCATACAATAAAATACTCCTTCTATTGGAGCTGTCATTCCCACACTAGCTGGGAACTCTCTAAGCTCATAAATGTCTCATAGGGAGCCAGGTCAAGGAAAAGAATCTGATTCAGGATATCTACCTGATGATAAAAAACATATTGCAAATTGTTTCATAAATCCCACTGCCAAAATTCTAACACAGTATCCTAGATTCATATGCTAGTAAATGTGCATTACTCAGGCTGCAAAGGGAGTTATCGTCTTTACAAAATATTTATCTTTACTGAAATCAAATCCCAAGAAGAATCCCAGGGTGCAGAGGCAAAACCGTTACGTTGTCAAATATGGCCTTTTGTGTGTGTGAAGATATCTGAAGGTATTTGCTTCTTGGCTATTTTCTGCTTGGAAAGCAGGAGATAGAATTTGCCAATGTCCCTACATCAAAATCTCAGAAGAATCCTTTACTTGGTTACTTAGGTGAAAGATGGATGTCTTTCACCAGTCCAAACTAATGACTGTCTACAGATGAACATACTCAGAAGAAACTCAGTATTTCTTGAATTGTTTCTTGATTTTATAATTAAAAAAACCCCACTTACTGTTCAAAAACCAGTAAGATTTCTCCATTCTTTTCAATAGCATTGCAAATCATTCTATTGTGTAAGATTGGTTTTAATAAAAGAAGTCTTTCATAATAAATAATAAATCTAAACATATATAAGTATATTCATATTTATTTGCAAATAAATATAAGCCTGTTCAGCTGGAAGAATAGTATTTCAGCTTTTGGTGTGGTCAGGCCAACCCAGTTGTCTGTGAGCTGATACAACCCTGTTAAGATGTGATGTGGGCAGAGTCCTAACCATATAAAAGTTAATGAGACTTTCGCTGTGAACTTAGATGGGTCCAGAATTTTATGTCATTTTGGAAACCACATCAAAAAGTGATAAATCAAACAAAAATTCTCAAAACTTGAAAAAAGTTATTATTGCCTACCTAGCTATGCACTTTGAGCCTTGTTTTGACGTTATCTTATGCAAATTATCTCCATGATTTTACAGAGCCACATAATTTAAGATTGCTTCCCACACTTTAATTTGAAAAATTATTTGTGTGTGAAGATAAGCATTTACATTCATCAGCATAGAGTTTTGGAGCTAAAGTATTTTTTTTGCTAGATGAGAAAGGTAGAAATACAGAACTCTTATCCTGTTCTTGTGAGATAGAGTAAAATTGATCTTGACCCAAAACTGTTGACATTAATCTCATTTTGTCTTAAATTGTAGAGTTATCACATATTTCCTACTGAGGAGTTTTGCCAGTAATTAGCAGGGTTTATCTATAATTATACCAGCTGCTGTGGGAACTAAGATTAGTTCAGTTCCAACAACTTTAATTTGTAAAGTATGAAACATTGTCAATCTGACTGTTTTATAAGCACAGAAGAGAGGCTGTGACAAGTAGCCAAGAAACCTCTGAGCACCAGCCGGAATTAATCTGTCCAATGAATATTCACAGCCATTTCACTAGGTATACATAAGCAGGCAGATTTACACAAGAGTGTAATCCCACTAATTGTTCCAGCTGCTGAGCCCAGAGTCGTCCTCTACTGAACATCGTCACTGGAAAAATTCGTGTGTCTGTATAGACGGCCCCAGGTAGTGCTTCAGTGGCACCTGGAGCCGCAGTCGTGTCCCTGAGGTTTGCAGCGCAGCCTGGGAATGGCAAGACATGGGTCAAGCAGCCGCGGTGGCCCTGCCACAGGCCCCGAGGTGAGAGGGTCCACAAGCTTCTCGTGATTACAGGCCACCTCCATGGGACACAGCAGCCCTCCCAGTGCCTCGCAGCCTTGCAATCCCTTGCAATGTAAATGGCAATTCCCTTGTAATAGAAATGACTGCTCCCCACTTGTGTTTACTCACTGTCTGCAGGACCGAGCTGGAAACATCTCATATTTTAGCCACCTCCTATTATAAACGTTTAGACACTGCATGTGCCTTTTGTTCTCCATGGTACATGCAAAATATTTGTACCCATCTAGGCAGAAAGCCCAAATCAGATTTGCCTTCAGTACACCAGTCAGTTGAAAAGTACTGAAATAGGGACAGTGGTTTCTTAGAAGAGTAATGACATAGGCATGTTATGTACACTACAATTTTTACCATTTCTACTAAAACCAGGAAAATATTCTAACTTTAAATTATATTTCTAATGCTGTGATTGATCTGTCTGTTCTACACTGAACTGTGAATGGGCACACAGGGTGAGAGCTAAGGCTGTTTACTGATCCATAACTACAAATGTGTCTAATTTCAGTCAGTGTTTCTATTGTTTGTTTAGGGCACTGGTTTTTAAGCCTTAACTCGTTATTTAGTTCATGTTCGGAGGATCAATATTACATATACATAGATAAAAATGGGATAATACAGCCTGTTATGATATACAGGAATTTAAAAGTGGGTTCTGGTAGTTTTCCCAGATGAGATATGCGATGAACAGAGCCAAAATTTCCTATCTGTATTTCTTAACTTCCCTAGCACTATTTCACATTTCAGGAATGGATTGGATATAGATTAATAGTGAAAAAAATATATAAAATATTCCTTTGGATTTTTAAAGAGCAGAGAGCCTATTGAGAAACACACAACCCAACAATATTTTTAAGGGAAGATGAATAAGCACATTCAAGTGGTTAAACTAGAAAGAATACATAAAATGAAGAATTAGCTCTTCAGCCGCAAAACTGTGGCCTCTCCTAGCCTTTCAAATTCCCTTACTTCTCAAGAGCCAGGAGAAAATATATGGCTTCTAGAATGATCTCATCATTAACATCTTTCTTGTGTTCCCCATAGAACTGAAAATGTTAAAATCAACATATTTTACCTGCAATCACTTCACCAGAACCATAGCATTTTATAAGCTTTTGACCAAAAAATAGAACTTTTTAATTTGATCATTTCAGAGTGTTTTATCAAAATGAAACTTTTTTCCCCCAAGTTTTTGAAGAAAAATATTATAATGCTTTGGTGAAATGGTATGAGCATGTTCTTAACCATCCATGACTCCTAATAATTTTCCTAGTCTTGTGGCAAGTGATGTACTTAAAAAATAACCATTTGCCTTAAATATGTGTGAATCTCACTTTTTACTTCAAACAACTTTGAAACTTTTGCCCCTACAACTGCTCCTGCAGTTGTAGAAAGTTTTAAAAAATGTCTGAGTGTACAATTAAAATTCAGACATTGCAAAAAAGGCTAAAATTTATTCTTTTCCTTAAACTTATCATCTTAAAGAAATGTTGCAACTTGAGAGGAGGGCCAACTGCTGATCTACTATTTAGTGTAAGATGTTAGCAGTCCTGCACCAAGACTAAAATAGACCTTGCCTTTCTTCCTTCAAAAATTCACCATATTAAATATTTTTCAGTAGCTTGCTGCATTAAGTGGTATGTTCTCTCTGTGCAACTTGTAATGGTTCTATCACTGCTTTCATTCTTCTTTTATTGGAAAACTTGATTTTTTGGAAAGCTTTTTTGAGAAAAAGGGATAATATAAACCAGGCAGGCCCAACCCTCTGCTCAGCTCTTGCCCACTGCCTGCCATGTGGTAGAATATATATTTTCAGCCCTATCTTACTGGAGCTGCTCCAGTACACATATCGCCTGTATTTGTATTACACTATACACTACATTTGTTACATTTATGTAGTGTACACAGAAATGTCTCATATAGGGTCTGTGTGTCCATATGCACAAACACACAAATACTCACAATATAGAATAACTGTTAACTGATTCAGAGACAAAAATCTGGCCTTCTCACAGCCAGGTAAGTGGCCTGGTGATGGGACTGAGACTCCATCTCTTCTTCAGCATTTCACTGACTACACAAGGTGGAGCACCTTGGGAACAGCTAAGGCCATATTTTGCCACTCTGCATTTGAGTTTCTGTATAAATAATACTTACTTAATTGTATAAACATGACAGAATCTGTGCAACAATAAAGCAACAGAAAGGTCTCATGTTTTGTACTTGCGGCTCTGGATTTGAGTCTTCTTGTCAAGTCATCCAACATCTCCATCCCATGTTCAGTGCCTATGTTACATTCTCAAGGGAAACTTTTCCTTCAGACTATTTGATCAAAACTGATGGATTAAATCCTCCAGGAAAAGTAAGTTTCTTCTCATTTGGAAAACAAAAGTTGAAACAACTCCCAGTTTTTCAAGAGTTGGAATTTAGCACATAAGCCACCTAAATGACTTCTTGGTGAGAAGCCTAAGAGAAATAAGAAACTCCATGGGCACAGAGCCCAGAAGCAGTGTTAGATCCCAATTTACATTAATTTGATTCTAGATCAAGTATTGCTGCACACTGTAATTATGGCCGTATGTGAAAAAGGAAAAAATGTCTAGCAAGTAAATAAGAGCCAGGTCTCCTCTGATAAACAGAATAAAATTAACACCTTAAAATCAATGGGAAAAATACTCCAAAACACAAATCAGAGTAACAAGCTTTGCAGTTCCCCTGGATTTGAACAAAGGGTAGTGCTACACATAGGCAGTGCTACTGGAACTGGTAGTTACTAAAAGGAGTCTGAAATGACTTTGCACCACTTGGTGAAGGAAGAGTTATTCCTACCATTGGCATACCATCTAGTCTTTTTCCTTAATTACTGATGTCAGAATTGATGGCTAATTTGGCTTGCATGTATATGCATTCCAATTCAGATCTCAGATCTGATTCTTATTACTGAAGAAGCAAATGTTTCAGGTCTGCTTTCTGTTTTTTACTTCTAGGTGAAACAGTCTACATTATTGCCTATTCCTCCTGCGTAGTTCTCATCCTAGGAATAGTCCTGTTGACTCTCCTAAAGATCAGGTAATTTGATAGACATATTAATCATTGGTTCTAGGAAATTGGAAAAGCAGAAAATAAAATGTTTTGACTTAGTTAAGAGGTTGGCACTGCGATTGTCTTTAAAACAGTCCAGTTGCCCCAGTGATGGAAAGAACTGACATTGCTGGTGTCAGCAAGAAAGAGTGAAATACGATGCGTATCTACAATGCCCTCCATTCATGCAGAGATCCCAGACTTCAGGAGGTTTCATTTCCTGTCCCATGGCAGGGGAAGGTGAAATCTGAATTCTACCTTCCTAGCCCTGTAGCAGGCAGAGGTAATGCAGAAAGGAAATGAGAATATTCAGCATTATAACATATTTAGAAACTGAACCGTGAATGCTGCTATTGTAGTTAATCTTGCCAAACACCATTTTTGCTGATAGGATTCTGTAAACATTCCCACACACACAGTATGAGAAACTGCCCATACACCAATGCTTGGTAAGAAAACAGAAATGTGAATTCACTTAGTCAAATGAACATGGCCTTTTCTTAAATGACACATTTTCTTGGACCAAATTAAATGGCCAGATTTCAAGAATTATGCTGTCAGATGATAGGTAACAGAACATGATGTAGCAGGAGCTATATATAGTGGGAGGGATATTGAGTCAAGTTTCATTATTAAATTCAGAGGCAGATCAAAGAAGAATCATGGAGAAAAATGCAAAAGGCAAGTCAAGGATATATGGGAACAGAGGCTTTCTCTTTAGGTTTGCAGTTACAGGAATATCAGCATATAAATAAAACTCAGATTTAAAGAATACCAGGGATGGAAGAAAAAACAGTACATTAATAACAATGAAGGGAATTATTTTATACCACAGTGTTCATCATAAAAAGAGGGGAATTTTGCCACTGATTTCAATTAAGCCAGAGTTCAAACCAAAAGCTGTATAGTTTATTGTTAAATACATGCACATTCTTTGTTTTCAGAGCCTGCAGAACAAAACGTGAGTCAAGAAGTCCCTCGCCAGACCATTCTTCTGAAACTTTTATGGTCCATTATAAAAGCCACAGATGAACTACTCTGTTGCTTATGCTTTTTAAGGCTATTCTTGAAAGCTAGCCTGTTGTACATATGCGATAATAAAATATATATTAGAAAACCTACTATAAATTATGGAATTTTGTAGTTGAGCATAAAAAAGATTTTTATATTTATTAACACATATTAAACATTAACAAGCTAAAAAAGTAGAACGGCAGTGTCTCTCATTTGCGTAGGGTCACAGATCTGTCCTGAGCTGCACATTTCCTTTATTTTTAGATGCACATGACAATGGTATAAATGTTGTATCAGCATGAATCTGCCTAGCAGTGGAAATCTTTGAAACCCAACCCTTCTGATCTGAACTCATCTGGCAGAAAGGAAAGAAATCCATCAGAATAATTTTGGAAAGCTGTTAAAAAGTACATACATGGTAGTTTTGTACACTACGTTCCCAGGTACCAAGTACCTGATACGATATTTGTAAGGCGGCAGTCACAGGTAGGCTGCCTGTAGTTTGATGGTGGAGCACTTGGTGGGGTAGGAGATCTCGATTACAACCCATTTCAGTATGAAGAGGAATTAAACTCTGACTAGCTGGGCTAATGCTTTGACCCCAGTATGTTGCTGCTGAAAGTGTTTTCTTGTTGCTGAAAGTCTTTCTCCTCAAATATGTTCAAAAGGAAATTAGTGAGCCTTGCCAATCTCAAAACAGTAATTTTAGAAAGCACTTAGAAAGCATTTTGTGATCTAAATTCCCAGTGGAGAAAGCCACTTGCTTGAGGCTGAAGTGCCTAATTTTTGAGAGAGAAGTTATGACCCATCTCACCATCTGTGTTTCCTATCCATTGTCTCTAGGCAATACCTGAAGTGCCTAATTCTCCCCGTGCACTGTACTGGGAGCCATGGTCCCTAACACACCACTCTGGATCCCACTTTATGGCTATGAGTTCTGGATTTCTTCCTGTAGCTGAGTTGTTTTGCTAGCAATTAGTTGCCTTTGTTATATCTTTGTAACAATCTGGTTCTGGTCAGCACAGGATAATGGACTGGCATTTCTTATACAACTGTTACCATGAGTAGCATACATATTGTCTTGTTATGATAACATTTGATGAATTAATTTTGTTTTCAATTTGATTAATTTGAATTGTGTCTGAATTCCCACTAAACATAGCTCACACAACAAACAGTATCAAGAATGAAATACTGGTTCCACTGAATTCAGCAAATTCAGTTTTGACCATGACCAATTCAGATCTAGGGCTAGAAATTTATGATATCATCAGAAGAGCAGGAATATCTACTCTTCAATGTGACTTTTCTTCTGTCTTTGGTAGTTTGTGAAATGATTTAGTGTGAGAGAAAAATCTTAGGTGTTCAATTCTACTGGGGAGAGTTTTTGAAATTTTTAACAGTTATTACAACATGATTTTTTTCTTTCTTTCTTTAGGATCTCCATAAAACCAAAATTTCCTTCTTGTTTTGCAATCAACTGCATGTTGTTACTAAATCAGCATTACTAAATTCAATCTCATTACTAAATTCACCTTTGGACAAAAATATAACAGAAAAGTGCAAAGTTGATTAGTTTGTTAATCAAAACAATCTCCTTTATCAGTCCAGCAATTTGTAGCATTTGGTTTATCTCCCTCCATGTAGGTATTTTGAAAGTATTATATTAATAGTCTACATCTTAAAACTGTGAAGAGGAAAAAGTTCAAACTGAAAATACTGTTGAGAGTATGTTCTCATCGGTGTTGGATAAAAAAATTTCTTTATATAGGAAATATATATATGAAGTGAACCCTGGGTTGGTTTTCAGTCTGACTTCAAAAAACAGTGATGCAGTGTTGCCACTGTGTTACAAAATTTGAAGAGACCCATTTATATTCAGACTTAACTAAACCTCAATCACAAAAACATCTCTTGTAACTTTCTTAGAAACTTTATGGTTTTTAATTGCCTTATACTGAAATACTAATAACTACTCCTATATGTGCTTAGACACACACATGCACACACATGTATGTAAAATGTATTTGAAACTGAGGGTAAGTATGTGAGTTACTCTGAAAGACAGCAAGGTATGTAGTGGCTATTGTGTTGCTTCTGTAATTTTACAGGCTCTTTTCATCAGAGCTAATAGTTAATGGAAAAGCACATTCCTTCCATTATACATGCAAAATGTATTCTTTTGTTCTATATATGTCCTAGTGACGCTGTATTCTGTCAACAGTATCTAGGTGTTAATTATTAAATAAAGGAATTTCTGCTGGGATGATCTGTATTCAAGTGATCATGATTAGACTGCTTCATGACCAGCTTTGTGATGGAGTAAGTAGTATCTTTGTCAGAGCTTCATTAAAATCTTTTCCTCTGAAGTGAAACATCTGCACCTAATTCCCAGATGGGGAAAATTAAGTTTCATTGATGACTTGGGATTCCCAGGACATAAGTAATTTTGGATAAGGATGTGGCATTCATCCCCCTTCCATTGCAGCTAGGACATTGGAAAGTGAATGAAGACTGATTGGGCTAGAAGGAGAAAGCATAAATTTTAGCCTTACAGCACTCTCAATTTGAAAGGGGGAATACTGGATTCCAGCTTTTTCTTTCAAGATTGTTTATGCAGTTTATCTAAAGATTGTTTCAAATTAAATGCATGAAGAGTTTTTCGGTAAGTATGCAGGATTAGCTGTTCCTTATGTAGCATTGAAGCTAAAAGGCTGTAAAGTCCAAGTTTCTGCTTCTCCTGTCTTGCCACAGTGAGTCTTCAATTCTTCAGAAGGAAGATCTTCTTCAACCATCTCACCTGATTGTGAGGTGAGAGAATGGGGTGCTTGTAGAGATAGGTGTGAATTCAGCCTTTTCAGGCTGTTGTGGGAATCTCGCACAATTGCTGGTACTCCGAGACAGATGTCAGATCAATCTAGCAACACAGAAGGATGGAAGGAAGCAGCACCAGCACAATCCCCAAGATGGTGCCTTAAAGAGTGAACACCATTCATTTCTTTCAAAAAAATGACCATGTGTGTCTTTCTACCTGGGAAAATACTAGCTGTTGGATTCAAGCTGGTGAAGATAACTAACTGCAGCTCATGCTGAGGCACTTCAACAGTAGCACAGGGTAGGGAATTTTACTGTTGACTTTTCCAAGAAAGTTCCACGATCAACATGCTGATGTTTCAGACCACATGCTGAAGGGATTCAGTCTCCCATGAAGTGTGTAGGAGGGCACAGATTTCTACTTTACAGTGGAACATCTGAAGTTAGATAATGCCTCATTGAATTTTTTGACTGCTACCTCCATTCCTGGCTGTAGCTTTTAATGTTTAGTTAATGGAGGGAAGAAATGTTTCCCTAGTAACTTAGAAGAGATTTGTCATCTATAAAAGCACACAGGAACAACTGATAAAAAGGTAATTCTAAGAAAATGCACTCCAAATGGATTATGAGGTAACAAAGTCAACACAGACGTACATGTGAGAGTGACAGCTTATATTTGCTAATTCCGTATGTGTGAGCTGGTTTGTCAGAGCTGCTGAATCTGGCGTAATACATGAGCATATCAGTTTCAATAAACACTGCGATAGATTTTATTTCAGCTTTAACACCATGTATTGCAAAATCACAAATGCATTTAACCAAGAGGGTGCATGACAATTCTTTAACAAACATATGTCTCTGACATTGGTTTCAAAGGACTAAGTTGACTTTGGCTGTAGTCCTTCTGCCTGCTGTGTTATAGCAGCAATGAAGATCAACACCACATTAGAGCAGGACCACTGAGAAAAAATAATTTTAAAAAATATAACATAACAAAAGAAAAGCATTGATCAGCAAGTCAAGAACTGGAAAGCAAGTGTCTTTCATTCCCTTCTCCAGATTGATTCTTCTGTTTAGTCAGTTTTCTAGACTTTTCACAATCAATAAAGAGAACTTAAGGTAGGCTGAGGAATCACAGAAAAATTCAGTGGCAGAGCATGCTCATTTTCAGGTATCACAGTAACTAAACAATAGTTCTACCCCTTAAAAATTAATTCCATGAAAAAATAGGCACATCTTATACATCCACACTAACTCTTTGGACAAGTATTATTTAATTTCAACCGCACTGATCCCAAACAGGAATTTTACCTCACAGACTTGCAGTCTTCATTTTGTGACTCCTTAATACAATAATAAAAGTTTTATTAACTCAAATGATGCTATTAAGAAAGAAAAATTAGTCAAAGCCTCTCTGGACTTATTCACAAGACCAGCATATTCACTTCTTATTTCCATAAACTCTGGTTATACATGAAAATGAAACATTAAAGTGCTGATCCAGAGCCAAGCTGCTCTAATACATCAAAGTTTAAACTACAAAGCAAGCTGCTGCTGGAAGGCATTAGCAGTATCCATGTACAGGATGCATGTCATTGCTGTCTTCTGAAAGGCACTGAAGAACAATTATGCCCATTACTAATGGCACTGATGAACTTCTCCAAAAAAGCACACCAGCCACGCCCTTAGAAAAACATAATATCTTGACTGGACAAAGCAGCCAGTATTTGACATTCTAGCTATTGATAACAACATGGGAAAAACTACTGTGAAAGTATTAAAGAAAATTACAGCAATATGACACTGGTCAGCTGTCGAACTTTCACAGGTTCAGACCAGGCTGCAGACCAAAGACTGCCCTAGAAACTCCATTTTCCATACTCCATGGCCCTGGCACAAGTAAGGTGATCTCCATGTGTTCTATGAGATCTCTGCAGTGACCTGCATACAGTGAGCTACAGAATAAAGTCTCCAAAGCATAGAATATCTTGGTACATCTAATTTGTCTCCGATAAGACTCAGCGAGGGCAGTCAGTAACTACTTCTCTCCCACATGCTCTGAGAGTTTACACTATCCCCTTTCCAGCATTTACAGAGGATCATCAACAAAACAAGGAGATAGCATGTCCCCACATTCCAACAGTGTGATCATGAGACTCAGCACTCTTGCTTTTTCTTGATACCTTTTAACATATATATATATATATATATATATATATTTATAATACATAGTAATAAGAACTCCTGCTTATAGAAGCCAAACACCTGGATGTAAGCCTTCCACAGCCAGAAGGTTACTTCACGGTGAAGTGACAGTAATGTATGGAGTGGGGGACACTGATAGGGACTAAAAGAGCAGGCATTACGGGCGATGGGTCACTCTGAATATAAGCATAAAGACTTAGAAACTCAGAAGCGCTGGAGAGCAGTAGCAGCAAGCCATGACTTGCCATTTTTTTGAAGGGATGTAGTCTCAACTGCTTTATTATGTGCTCAATTCAATGCTGCCTATGTGAGTGATGCATGCTTATGGAATAGCTACTGGATTAGCCCTTGATCTTAAGGGCAGTATATGCCTATTTTGTGAAGCCAAAGATTAGGCATTAAAATGCTCCACATAGTTAAAATGATGCCAGCTCAGGAAAGCAGAGCAGCATCACTTTATGTGCCTAACAAATTTTAGTAGTGAGAACATAAGATGTCTAGGGATTCTCAGTTACACTACAAGTAAAGAAGGATTTTATGGGGGTTGCTCACCTGGACCCACAGGCCAAAATTCATCCCAGGTGGCACTTTTTGGCATATAAACATTGGGGTTTTTTGAATCTGGCTTTATGTTTCTTCCTCCCTTGTAAAGATCCTGACAAACAATCTATTTGTCTGTGACCTCCACCCTGGATTACTATAACTCACTATGTGGTTGAAGCTGAACGTGTGGGTAAAGAACGGGCTCCAGATGTGACTGCTCATCTTTTCCAATGCTGACATCATTACAGAATAACAGGCCTGCATTCAAGGCTCTCCACAAGCTCCCAGGTAGTTTCTAAAACAGACCAGTAAAGAACCAAGGCATTTTAGGTTGTTCATTCCCATGATTTAATAGGTACCCTGTTTCAGTTCATAGGGAGAGTTAAGAGACTTAGAATTGTAAACTGCACAGCCCAGATGCTGAGGGGCCTCAGATGCACTATGCACAGAGGCATATCTGAAAACTTGCCCAGAGTGTAAGGGTCTCCTAGTGCCAAAGTTAGGAATCCTTCACGGCAGTTAGGAACATAGATGTCTAGAACTCCCACAGAACTGAGCAGAGCTAGTTCTCTTATTCTATAGTCTATGTTCTACACAGGTATTTTATTTAATGCAAAAGTTGTGGTAGTAATGAAATCACTCACTTTTATCTAAGACGCTGTAGTCAGTATACTTACCAAATAAGTGGACTGTATCAGTTCATTTCCTAACTTGGCCTACAGCTGAAGCCCTCACCACTATCTTCAAGGAAAAAAATTCTTATCTGTTGCAGAGACATTTTCTTCTTGTGATCTTTCCGGTCTCAGGAATTTTCAATTCCATCCTACCTAGTGGCACAACTCCATACAGATTTACTAAAAAGTGCATTCTTTTTTCCATTCTGTATATAGCCAGGTGGTTAAATCCATTTATTAGAATGCCAAAAAAATGTGCATTTCAATCTCCCCAGGCTGAGTAGCAAGCTAATCTCAGATCAATTGTTTAGTCCAACATTCAGGCTAATATTTAAAAGGTGATTTGCATAATTACTTTTTTTTTTTTTCCAAGGGGTGACTTCACTTTCATTCTTTGAGAAGCTCAGTCTCACATCAGTTAAAAATGCTCACAGGATCTTGGGTGGAAGAAAATTCATCAGGTCCTACACAATAACTGCAGATTTCAGCTCAAAATGAGCTAATTCAATGCCTGCACAGAAGCAAACTAAAGAGGAAATTATTGTTAAACATATGAGAAAATTTATTGTTAAACAGGAAAGTATTACAGTGTGGCTAGTCACCCTCAGGGGTAAATGGCACCTGAATTAGGGAGTCTTTAGGATGTCAATTCTGGCACTAGGCTTCACTACTAATTATTAGACTTAGTACAATCTAAGTACTGCTGCAGATCCCTCACTTCTTCGTTGAATCTAATCCATTACAGAATTTTAAAACCTGTGAATGGTTCAAGACCTGTTTTACTAAAGTTTGTGTTTTGATACATGAGCAATAGTGGCTTCTAAATAACAAAGCCTCAGCTGAAACATGGGAAAATGCAGAGAGTATTTTCTGTGGTGATCCAACTATGCATCCAGAGCAGGTCAAGAAAATCAGGGTGTTCACATCTTTAAGAGAACCTGAAAGTCTTCTTACTAGATACCACAGGAATTGGTGCAATTTAGTATTTTGGATTGCTAGGCAAGGTATTTCCTGCCTCACCTGAACACATTTCTTTGCTTATTCTTTGAGTCTTACCATGAGAAGAGTGAAACAATGTAGTTTATATTAGTTTTAACTATCATTATGACATAAACAGGATACAGGTTTTATATCAGATTTATAGCTTTGAGTTACCTGGCATGCAAAGTTTGACTTTCTTAAGCTACGCCAATTCTAAACTACAATACTGGCTAAAAAAGTTCACTTCAGAATTTCAAAGGCAAAGTGAGACTCAGCTGTAACTTGGCAAGAGTTGAGTTCCAGATAAAAATTATTCAGCCTTTTCCTTCTTTACATGTTATCTTTCACTTTCTTTCATCTTACCTTTTCCCAACCTTTCATATTTTGGAGGAAAATGGAGAATATGGAAAAAGATCATATTCCAGGGTTTTAGATTTTCATGTTAACAGGCTATGTTCAGAAAAAATATAGATCAAGGTTAAGTACACAGAGAATTATAGAAAGATCCTACACAAACAACCAGCAACAGTACTGAAGTTTCAGACTGAAAAAATAGCAATATTTTCATGGCATATTTGAAAAGTTTAGAGACAGGATAAGGCTCTTCTTTGAATTTGTCCATTATTGATCTAAAAATGACAATGCAGTTCACTGGCATCTTGCTGAACTAAGACCTGCAAAAGAACAGTATCACTAGCAGTAGAGCACAGAGGAAAATTGTTAAGTGGTTGGTTCCCTTTGTGTAAGCTAGTCCAAAAGAATATTATTATCCTCAAAACCCCATGACTTATAAGTGAGAATGTAAATTCATAGATGGTAGAATAAAAAAATCAAATTGCTTGATGAGACCTTGGACAAAAATTTATCTCCTTCTACACTACTATTACCCTGAATGATGGATGAAAACCTTGCCAATTTCCAATGGCTTCATATAATTAGGTTATAATACAGTTGACAAAAAAACCCAACTACAACAAATTTAACATATGTAACAAATAAGGAAATTTGCATTAGATTTGGAGGATCTGGCAGACTGCCATTTACCACAAAGTCTTGGAACAAGATAAAGTCATCCATAACTTAACAGATGTTAAACAAAACAAAAATTAAAAAGTGCTATTGCTAAAAAATTCTTACGGTGAATTCAGATTTGGCTCCACATTCATAACACAACTAACTTGACAAATTAAAAGTAAAGATTCAGATAAATAAAACACATAATAGAATGGCCACACACAGTGTGGGATCTCATAAACTACTGCAAATATTTGTACTATTCTGAAAGTCGTCTTGATTAAAAATTAACTATGTATTCACTACTATCTAGTTTTCCTGATATAACTAAACTTCAGTTTACATACAGCATGGTAAAATGTCCTCATGTTTTTTACATTTTTCTCATCTGTAGAAGTACCAAGCACAGGGTTCTGTACTACAGTCACTTATTTCTTACTTATAAATCAGACAATTCTTGATAAGACAGTACAGTACAATAACTCATCCCATAATAAAAAGTTATGTATGGGTTCTATTTTGGTTCTTTGCTGAAATGGTCTTTTTATATTTGTTTTCTTCATATAAATGTCCTTGGTCAGGGTGGATGACAAATGTAATTAAGCTGCAAAAAAAAAAATCCATTTAATGGATAGTTCCAGTATTGAAGGAAGCTTGTGCAACCTTTGAGTTTGTTTTCTTGTTCAAAGCTGTACAGATGAAATTTCCAGTTTCCATCACTGTATAAAGATTTACTCCCTAAAAAAGAGGTGAAAAACGTTAATAATAATAAATGCACATGTTGAAAATGCTTAAAACTTCACCTTTTTTTTTGCTCCAGGGCCTAATTTTTGTAAACAAAGGGCCTGATTCATGTCATAGGTCAGTAACAGAGATGAGCAGAGTTACTGTGACTTACACAACAGCCACAGCTTCCAGTTGTTTGGAAAGTTCTACCACTTTGAGAGTGATTTCTTATCCTAACAGCAGTGGACCAAATAGTCAAGTAACATCTTTCTGACTCAAAAGAATCTGGAATAAAGAACTGGAATAACAACTAGAAGAAGCTGGAAGAAAAATAGTATCTACATATGTGCTGTACTTATTTATCCCCCAATGCTAAGAAACTTCATGCTTATAAATATCCTATTTTCGCTCAGGAAAAGGGAGGAAATACATTGGCAACTGAGTTCAGTGAGAAACGGGATCCTGCATTTTCTTTAATATATATAATCTCTTTCTTGAAGAAGTTTTCAATACAACATAACAATTTACACTGCTAGCACAACTGAGCAAAACATTGCAGCTGCTTGATCTGCCCATGCTAAAAACACATTCCTTGGGTTTTAACTAACATATGATATGTATCAGTATTGCTCGATTGCTAAAATGGAATTAGATCACTGATTAAAGAGGAAAAAAGTACACCATTATTAGTCTCCTGGTTTACTCATGTATAGTAAAAGTTTTAGTTAGATCATACCAGTGGTATAAGTATGTCCTCCAAAGATTGGAATTTAGAAGCCAGTCAAGTTTCTGTAGAAGGGATGCAAAAGGGTACTTTGAACTACCAATACACTGAGCAGTCCCAGCATAAAACTGGGAGAAGTCTGTCACTCAACATTAAAGAGTGCAGATGTATTGCACCAGAAATACACTTTCATAACACGGATTTATGCACTAAAGTTCAGACTAAAACCTGATTTAGACACTTAATTTTTTAATTGGATCTAGCACCTATTTCCATGTTCTATGCTAAACTTTGTCTTTTTCATTCTTGGAATGGGCTAAAAATCTTAATGAGAATAGAAATTATTTCATGGAAATATAATCAAAAACATTTTTAATTTGAAAAAAAAAAAATCTGCTTCAAAGATTCCAATCAGCTCTAGTATTTAGTACCATTTAAAACATACTCTTCAAAGACATCCTTTTATAACTGTCTCTTTCTAATACAGTTATAACAAGGGTGATTTCAGTTTATTCTGTTTGTCCTTTATTGGCCATTACTTAGGTTTAGTTTGTAGAGTGCTATTGCACATACTGCAATCTAAAAAATTCTTACAGCATCTGTGGTTTTTTACTAGGAAGAAATAAGAAACATACCACCATAGACATACTTGGTAGTTAGATTATGGAAGATGGTAAAATAAAAATCCAAAACTATATAAAATTCACATTTTCAGCACTGTAACACTGCATAATGTGATATGTGTTGATAAGAAACATATGTTCACAGTTCACATTCATTAAATGGAATACAAGCATCTCTGCCTTTTAAATTGTCTTTCTTATATAAGTGTTGTGAACCAAAGAGGATTACCATGAGGGCACAAAACCCAGCATTCATGAGCCTGACTCACAGATGGGGATGGGAAAAGAGTAGTGACAGCTGTTTGTAAGGTTGTTGAGTCAAAATAATATGTCTTCAGATAGATACTCAGAAATGTACTTAAGTGTACTTGATATACACTCCATATATCCAGGATTATTCCTTGACATTAAGGAATGAAACCATGAAACACAAAGACAAGTACCTCCAATAGTATCTATGCACTTGGATAAGTGCCTCAAGTCAGAAAAGCTTCTGCCAGAAGGCGAATTTCTTTAACTCCCATTGACTTTAATTAACCAGTTGTTATTCAGCATTCATAAATACCAGGTCTGTTATCTCTCTGTATTTTGGTTTCGGGGTCAGTAATGTCAGGCTAACAGTACTTAGTTGCTTCTCAGAAAGGCTTATTGTTTGCCATGCACTTTGAAGGCATCGTAAGACCAAGTACGATTACTGTAATTACATAAGAACCATATAGAAACTATTTTTATAGAAAGTACATGTCTCTCTACCAAGTTTCATAAGCATTAATGATCTATGACATAATTATCTATCCATTACCATGGTACAACCAATAAATCTCTTTGTAGATGGGCTCTGCTAGAAAAATATTTCACATTTAGCCTGCCAGAGATTCATTTCACGCATCACTTCTTGGTTACATGTTCTGAAGAACACTATAGAACAAGCATCAATTATTATTTTGATGTATCTAGTCAATCTGAACTCAATAATGTACCCTTCAATACTGTCCATCCTTTGGTTGACACTTTAAGTGACTTCAGTCAACAAAATGAAAGATTTAGTGCATAGCTGAGAGGGACACAAGGAATCACTCCTTGAAAATCAACAGCATTAGCAATTATAATTTCACTTTGTGCCATTACGCCCAAAGAGACATCATAGATTTTTGCAATAATGTTTTTACAGAATTGGCCATGGCACTAAAACCAACTAACATTGCAAAGACTAAAGCTCATATATTAAATTAATAATTTTGAGGTTCCATGTCTCAGCCAGTAAATCACTCTTTCCTTAATGGGCCAGAAAAGGGTCAAGAAGCAAAACTTTGTGTTTTGCTATTGCATAATCTAAAATGAAAATAACAAAAGGAGAGCTAAGTGTTTCATGGTGAGATTCTTATCTCCATGGGATTTGGTAGCAACCTTCAGAACAAGCTAGAGTCCTGGTTGGACACCAGATCGTTAACAGATTAATAAATCTTATCAAGAAGCCTGGAACAAGGTCCATTTCATTTAATCAGGAAATTTTATTTAATTGATTCCTTTTGCTATGAGTCAGTTGGAAAAGTCAATGGGTATTTTATCCAAGGAAAGACTATAATGAAAGCCTAAGGTGCACTGCAATGTCAAGTGAAATGCGCACGATTTCTCCTCCTTTTTCCAAAGAATTGTGTTGTTTCAAAAGAATAATCACCTTCTTTATGAAAAAAGATATCTCAAAGCAGGTATCAACAGTCAAAACAGAGTGCACTTTTACAGTGGACACTTGTGATTAAACCTCTCTGACATCTATCCAGAACTCCCCAAGAAGTACATGAAAGCAGATAAACATTACAGTGAACTCTGAAAGATACTGAACATGCTTTAACAGTGCTCAGGGAATGTACAATTCAGAAACAAGTTCCATTATATTTTTATGTGATATTTTATGATATTACATGATTTTTATTATATTTTTATCCACATTGAACTGCAATCTATGGACAAGTGATAATCTCCCCAAAAACTCAGATCTTTGCATTTCAGACAAACCACATAGACTGCAGTTTGGGCAGCTCTTTATATGTTCTCCTTTGAACTTGACTCTCAAAGTCTATGTGTAAGTAAAGTCACTGTATTGCTGGAGTTGGTACAAACTCATCATGCCACATTTCCAGAACAATGATAACCAACAGGAAGACCAAAGAGCACATTTTCTGGAAAAGGCAACATTACTTGGTTCCCAGGAATACAGAATAATTAACATGCCAGCCAAGCCAGGGATACTAAATGTGTGCTCTTGAAGTGTGGATGCTCACTGGTAAGGTTCATTAAAGTACAGCTCTGTGCCAATAAGCCGCTTTGCCCTCTACTCCGAGAACAGGGCTGGAGATAAAAATTACTGTGAAGCCTACTAGCCAGTAATAGATTTTGTACAACTTTGAAATATATTAAGTGGATACCTGAGAAATAGCAATGGCCTGTGCTTGGACTACAAATGCCACCATTTCTTTCTACTTTGAAGCCAAAAAAGGTGACAACAAATTAATAAGCACTATGAACAAATCCAAAGCTCTGTGAAAAAAGCTGAGGTCCATTCAGTCTTTCCACTGTAGACCTGATTAGCCTTCTGGGGCAATGTCTACAGTAGTGATTTTTTTGTGGTTACTGAGGCAGAGCAATTCTTGCCGTAGTTGCGAGACTGAGTTCCTCATAGCTCCAGTAGTGAGAGTGGGGTTATCCAAATTCCTGTCAAATACATAAACTGGTTCTACTCTAAATTGCTAGTGAAGACAACATCACTTGTGTCATGTGTCAAGCCATGTTAAAGCACCAAGTCTGCAAAAACTATTTGCTCCCAATATTTTATTGTACAGCACAAGTAATTGTCAGGTATGTATCATATGCTTTCTAGAAAAATATTTCAGTTTTTCGTAAAGTCTTAAGTAGAAAGTAAAAATATCTTACTGTATTGATCCCCAGACCGTTAAGCATGTATATCACATCCTCTGTGGCTACATTTCCAGTAGCACCTTTTGCATAGGGACAACCACCCAGGCCTGCAACTGATGAATCCACTACAGCAACTCCCATCTGGAAGATAACAACACAAGAATGCAACATCAGCACAGAGTATTATTGACAACTATTCATAAACAGCAGGCTATACATATTAGTTACCATGGACAAAATACATATTTCTCCACAAACGGATGTGTTTCTTGGGAGGAAATTCCTTATAACGGTATTAGTTGTGTTATCTTTATAAGGTAAGACTCTTCAAACACAGGATGTGGAACAGAGAATGTAATGGTCCATTACATGTGATTTGGGCAGATGATTGCTGTTTTAGAGCCAGAGTTTTATGTCTTATTCTCTCTACATGTTTTTAAGTAGCCTGCAACTATTCCTGCAAAGACTTACATATAAACAAATACAATCAATGTGTTTATTTAAATGTGTAATTTTAAGCATATGTATAAGTCTTTGCAAGTTGTAAGTCTTAGTATTAGCAGCTGATTTATGTGTCATCCAAAAGATTTTGAGATGTCTACACTCTTAAAATGTGTTTGGTATTAATGACTATTCTTCACAAAGAACTTCCTTCCTAGCATTTTCTCTTTTCCCATTTTCTTTTCTTTCCTCTTTATCAGAGATCATGAAAACACCATGTAAATAATTTTTTTTGGTTCTTGTTTTAGAGGAAGACTACAAGGTATTTTCACCCAAACTGAACACCACAATGTAAGGAAGAATTAAATTTTGGCAGATGTGTTAAAGATTTCATGAGGTTAAATCACCTGGAAATAAATACTTAAAGAACTTTACCCTGGTGAGTCTGAGCCACTCTCATATTCACCAGTCTATAAGAAAACACAACCCCCCCAAAATAAATAGCAAATTTCACATCCTAGCACAGTCCTGAATTCAAAAGCCTAGCATTCAAAAGCCTGGTTTTTAAGGTGCTTGGAATAACTGAATAGTTTGGATATCATGGAAGTTCTCCATAGAAATAGGTTCCAATCTTTGAATATTTTTAAGGGAGTACTTGATGCCCAGTGTTAAGCTTTCTCATTTAAATTAAGACTTGAAAAAACAGTCAATTGTCCTAAATTCGTAGTTCTCTGATTTTTATTTTCTTCATACTGCATCCAAGCTCCTTCTCCCTCCTGATCCTGTCTCAGCATATTAGTGATACCAAATAGTAAACCAGTTACCAACTCTGCTCAACAGATACTATTAAATTTCCTATAGGATAAAGCCTTCCCTGGGAGATTGGTCAGGGAGGGAAAGAAACTGAACCTGTGATTTCCACCGATCTGTTTAGTAAGGTCTTGCACCTTCCTCTTTCTGTGATTAGATTTTAAAACAGAGCTGAAACTGGGAAGTATTTATTTTCTGTTTTAACATGTTAGGTATGTGATCCAGGACACTGGGTCTTGCTTGTCAGACAAAAGCTCTTCAGCTTTCCACTTGAAGAAGATTAGATGTCTTTGGAAGCATTCAGGCTCTAGAGATAATCAGAGGGAGCCAGTGGTATTGGGCAGAGATGTCATGAGGTCTTCTAAGACACCAGCTTCTCTCCATCTTAAGCACACTTGAGGGTTCTCCCCCCTCCAAGGCTAATTAAGGCAGACATACACCAAAAGTTTAAAAGCAGAAGTCAAGTTGACTGCATCAGGGTACACCCACACTCAAATTCTGGACAGGAGTTCCTGTGTTGACATAAATTTTCAGTACTCTGACTTTGGGTCTGGAGACATTCAGAGGTTGAACCATGATTATTACTTACATTTGCAAGTCAGTAAGATCAGCTGAGAGGCCTGACTGCACAGCAAGCTGATTTCTGTTGCTCTCCTTCTGAGGGACCTACCTGTCCCCAAAGACTAAGCTGGGAGACTGAGCTTCTCCTTCACAGCTGTGCATACAACTAGCTGGCAAGGTAGGCAAAAGGCAACATCTAGGCATCTACTTAGATGTTGCAGTTGCTAAGTCCCCTTTCTGAATATACCCATCAGTGGGGCTTTTTAGTTCTGAAATAAACCTCCCTAATGTGTTGTTGTATTTTATTCTAGTTTTAATGGTGCTTTCTTTATTTTTATCATTGGCCTTATATGCTCTTTGAAGCTCCAATGTTTCTGGAGGGCAATAATAAAGAGTAATCCAACAAACCTTTGTCCCAGGTCCTATTCTCAGGCAGGGAACATTATCTTAAGCTAGGTAGCTGCTCAAAGCCTATAATAAAGTCCTCAAAGAAACTGAGGTGCCTAACTATGACAGGCAAGACATACTGTTTAATATTGCTCACACAACGAGACTCTCTAAGAAGGGATATTGTACTTTAAAGTACACTAATCTGTGAATTATGGAGTGAATCACCAAAGTACATGTTTCACATTCCAGTCACTTGTCACACACTTTGTTTGTGTAACCCACCAGTCAGAAAATGTGTTATATAACACATCTGTGTCCAATACACAGAGGACAGGTGTTTATGATAGTTTTCAACTGGAAATTCTGTCTCTTTTTGCACTAGCTGCTAAGATTCATACATTTACTCTGGAAGTCATTGCTTCAAGCTCCACAGTGGGAGCCCTGTTTACAGGGCTTGCAAGTGTCCCTGTAGAAACAAACCTAAGGCCTCTTAATGGAAAGACTTAAGCTACAGTGAAGGTCTGGTGAAGAGAAAAAGGAGATTCACATGTAGACATGCTGGTATGATACAAGCATGCATCCCACTGCCGTGCCTGCTCTTTCAAGCTGATTTTAAGATTTTCTTCAGAAATGGTTGTTTCAGGCATGAAAAGGTAGAAGAAAGCGTCCTTCATGGAGCTTCCCAACAGCTATCAGGTTATGTCAAAACTGCTAGAGCATTCTTCTTGATGTACTTATTTTCAGTAACTTTTAACATGAGGATAAAAGATACAGGAAGATAATGTGCTGAGGTACATCACAGCTGTTCAACTTGTAAGGAAGATCAACAAACTCAGAAACAGCTTGAATAGCATATAAGCAGCCACTTTCTAACCCCAGTGAATTATGTCATGAAACACTTGCCCTTGTGCAAAAATACAACTAAATTGTATTGGTAACAATTAAAGTAGCATTTGAAAACAGACAGAGAAGTCTGCCATTTCAGTTCTGGGGAGAACCATCTCCTGGGGGGTGTCACCTATATTACTGTCACTAGCCTGCTCCAGTGCTTCAGAGCTCTCACTGTGAGAAAAACCAAAAAACAATACACTGCCAGCATTAAAGGGGTATGTCTTCTAAGGCACTGGATATATATACATATTCATTTCTTGATATGTTTGTACAAACACTTGTGATGCCACCATAATTCTACATTTGCAGTGCAAGTCTTGTAACACTGGGGTACATGTTGCTTATTATTGTCTATAGAAAGTGTTTGTGAATACATAGAATGGTATGGGAAACCACATCAACATGAAGGTAACATGAAATACATATTAAGCACATCCTAGCATTCTCAGGCAGCTTCGTCTGAGTTAATTCAAACTACTGCCACTGGAAGCTGGAGTAAGCTCAGTCAATTTACCCTAATGTAGATGCAAGAGCATAAAAACCAATTACTTCGGCTGGCTAAGCAGTGGAAGCAGTAACCTCCAGATGATGGACAGTGATAATTGTTCTGTCTTTTAAACCATCAACTGTTATGTCTAAGAAAAACAAGGAAGTCGTCACAGCTTTACATTGGTAACATCCTCGGTGTGGCAGCTTTCACCCTAGTACAGGTCACTTAAACCATTACTTCCAAGAAGTAGTACATAAACATGTTTATAACTGTATCTGCATCAGGATAGATTTGCCATTTTAACATTCAGCCAGTTGTAGACAAAAGTCTTGACAAGCGCATATAATACAGCAGCTCTGACTGACCTCCAAATCTGATATGTCTTCGAATCAGTGTTCTTAATATGCAATGAGTGGGTGTCTCTGCCTTTAAAATAATTGTCCTTTAAAGTTCTTTTCACAACACTTCTGATTTCTACTGCAACCTACTGCTATTCGAGCAGCAGGCTCAGCTGCATCTGTCTGCTCCAGTACGTTGCACAGGCAAATAGGTGTCTTCTGATTCATGTGCAGAATCACTGCAGTTCATCTCCAGTGTGGCCCCATTCAAAAGTCCTTAAATAATCCATACTCCAAGCTCCATTCTAACAGTGCTAAGAACAGATGTTGGAAAACATCCTTCAGCAGCACTACTAACTAATTTGGAGGTTAATATTACAGCCCAGCCTGTCCAAGCAGAGTCTGAAATAGCACCTAATAAATAACTTCTCTGCAAGTTTGAGCAGCTATGAAGCTGTTTTGCTTTTGCAGCCATTAAAAGAATAAGGGGCTCTAAAAGAAAAGCTAAAAATTGACATAATGTGTAAAACAAGGCCTCTTCCTTTATCACATGTCCAATATTTGTCAGGCTTTTACAGGAGATAGTGATCTTAAAGCCTTTCAGCAATTTGAGCTTGCAAAACATTCACTGTCAATATGAGATCTTTAAAAAGCCCAGATTCTTGTTGTCACTTCCTGACAGGCACTAAATTGTGCTGAGATTCATAAAGAAGTTGCACTGCAGCTATTTCATGGGGTATGTCCTAGATGACCACTCACCAAGCTGCTTAGGATGTATGTGTGGGTGAACAATGGCTTGGCTTCCAGGACAACTTAAGTGCTCCAATCTTTTTTGACACTTGCAGAGTTTTGATAATCACTAAATTCCTGACAGTGGTTCCTGAACACCTTCCAAACTTTAGCTTTGGCTAGCTTTAGCTTACTCTCTGGAGAAGGCAGAAGACTTTTTGCTCCTGTCCCATGCTAACTTTCTAGCTCCCCAACAAGAGAGCAAGGAATTAAATTAATCACTTTTGTCAAACAGCCAGTTTTAACAGGAAACCATTATTGCCAGTGAATAATAAATGCTTAATGCTTCTCAGTTTGCTTTACTACCTCCCCATAATTTCTTGCTGGGACTGTCAGTCTCCTTCCTTACTGATCTTTAAACCTGGCTTCATCTGACAGAAGTTTAACTTCGACCATCTCTTAAAAATGGAAAGGTCAGCATCAGTAACTCC